TTATTTCAGAAGCACTAACAGACACACAAGCATACGAAAGTTTTAAAGAACGCTTCCAAATATTTTCACTAACCTTTCATTTCCTTGCACCACACGAAAGAGATTTACACTGCTCACACGATATTATGTTGCGCACTAAACAAACACATACATACAGTTACTATCGTTTCATCCAAAATCACTTTGACCTCCACACACCCTCTAGACAACCACACCATCGTTTCCAATTCATCAATTCCAAATACACTTCACCATTTTTCCTAAATTTCACATATTGTATTAAAGACACTAACCTCCATGGTATTCTTCGTAATTATGACCCCATAACCCAAATGTACATTTTCTGCCCCATCACCAAGACCTTCAACGCCGAAGAATCCCGACCCTTCCTTATCCCGCACGAGTTCCTACAACCTATAGAAATCCCAATTTTAGAATTCATCCACAACACTAAATTTAACCACAAATTATATAACTTAATCCAAAACACACCTTATGAGTTTGCAGTAGGCACTGAAGAACTAACCACTATTAAGGCACTTCAATTGCTTTGGCCACTGCTTCAAACTAAAAATATCATCCGCATCTTAGCTAAACTACTAACAACTTCAGAACTAATTCACGACATCTTCCCCCACGGTTTTTTCCCCGACGACTAACAGGTAAGTATGAATTAAGTAAATATTACTAATTAATTACAATATTAAAAACTCACCATTCTTTATTCATGTTTTCTTTAGATTTTTAGCCTTCATCCTCGATCATCTGAAAAATTCACAAAAGAAAAATAAAAAATAGCAAACTTCCTCAAAACTGTTTAAGACCCTATTAAACTTTTGCACCAACAATTAAATAAATATAATACCAATGCAGTAAATTAATTTATAAAATTTTCCCCCAAAAGCAGTAAATCTACATATGATGAAAATTTGTATCTTAAAATTCCCCCATAACTAGCAGTAAATTTCTAAATTCTATGTAGTAAATTAATAAAATGCAATTGCAGTACTAACCTTTTGATATTTTCATTCATTCGCACAGAAATTCTATCCACACTCGCACAGCTCGCCCACGAAGAATTGTTTAAAATAATGAATTTCAGTTTCAAGTTTTCACACTCAACAACTCTAACATACAATAACATGTTTCAAACTTTCCTTTAACCCGGTTGGAAAGGAATCATATACTAAACAAAACTAACCAACGCAGCTTACTAAATACCACAAATCATAGAATAACAGCATGACTTAGAAAAGGAAACCAACGGTACCCAAACCGGATTAACCCAGTTTAAAACTGGATAATTTATTCTTTTGAAGACTATTACAAAGTCTTAGAAAGAAATAATAAAACACAAAAAAGTCGAAAGACAAACCCATACCACAAACAATTTGCTTTTTGGAAAAAGTACATAACCAACAAGACATAAGTAAAACCACAACAAACCCAACATAAAACGTTGTCACATAACAGGACCCCTCACAAACACCGCATGAAATCATACTCCCACTCCTGGCCTAACCCACCAGGAAAGGACGTCCTGAGCATGCTCTATAGCCGGCCTAACCCACCGCGCTACATCCACGCTTTGAGACCACACCTTTATTTTTAATAAGAGCTACTCAAGGGTGAGTAACTCTTCAAAATAACCGAACTAAAACAAAAAGCTTTTGTGAAAACAACTAACTAAAATCATTATTAAAAAATATTAAAACTAATAAAAGTTTTATAAAATGTAAAATCACATGATGCAATATATAGATCAGAATACAACACCAAGGACGAACATCAAAAGACAAGACGACCTCACTACACTCGAGAGAGAATGACCAACTACAATCGATATGCCGCTCACAATCACAACTCAAAGGATTTAGAGTACGACTTGACTTCGCAGAAAAGGACTTCATTGAACTAGACCAATGACCACCTCGATGTTCAAGTATACGTACAGATCCGAGTAACCAGGCATCCCCTCCACGCACAATCTCCACGCCATTCCCAAGCTAGATCAGACACAAAAGAAGTTCTCCCCGAAGAACAGAAAAACCTGACATAGCCAACCATTCTGAAATCAGAATTGATTTGTCGTTGTCACAAGAAGAAGCGAAAGAAAATTATGATGTTCGCCAAATACCAACGTCCATCATCCACCCTTGAATTACAGAAGAACTGTTCTAAAAAACTCTGTAAAACCCGGATGGGTGGAACCTGATCTAAACTATATTTTATGATTGGATAAATTAAATGTTTTACCAATGTAAAGTATTTAATATTAACCAATCATGATCCATCTAACTAACAACCCACTTATTTGTAAGTGCTGAAGTTACTTGTAATTTCAGCACCAGAGAGATTTGAATTTAACTTAGAAATTAGTTGGACTCTCCCGAGCACTTCAGCAGCCGCAATAAACCAGTATACCCTAGATCTATTGAGCCTAGCAGAGACTAGTTAAACAACCTGAGACTAGATAGTATAAGAGTAAGATTAGGATCGGTATTAGACTAAGAAGTTGCACGAATCTATCCGGCCGAAAATAAGATAGCGTGACGAGCAGACGGTGTACCCTATCCGAAATTACTCTATGAGTTACACTTCGGTCCTAACTCACTTTTAAAAATGAAATTATGAGTAAAAATCAACTACACTCAGCCTTAAAGGTAATGGGAGCAAATATGTTTTGATTTAAGACAACCAGTATTCTGGTCTTCTGAAGATAGGTTTTTGCCTCTTTAATTTTTTTTGATGAACGATTACATATCGTTACTGAAAATTTATGCGCGTCGATCGAAGATCACTCAATTTTCCTAAATAAGACAGAAACCAGAAGTCTCAGAATACTGTTCCACATTTTTTTGATGATGAAACAATATATGAACTATATCTGAACAACATACAAACTTATATATGAACTATTGAAAAATTTATCAATGAAACCACTTTTCTTATAGCTTGTCCCCGCAGTACAATGCTTGCTGACTTTTTTTTGCTTTTGGCAATTATTTTGTTTTTGAATCAGTAACGCATTAGAAGAAAGAAAATTTCGTACTCTATTGTTAATTCAATAGGCGGCATTATTCTATTTTGTAGAAATAAAAATTGTCAAAAAATTGAACTCAGGTCTTTGGTATCTTTAATAACCTATAAATAAAAGCGCACAAAATGATGTTTGTGATCATCCTCCGTAGCTGATAAAATCCCAATTGCACATTTTTTTCTTAGTTTCTTCTAAACTTTGGAACAAGTAGAAAAAAATTATTGTTTCGTTTCACGGATAAAATCAAAAGTTTACAAGCTCAATTTACAAAAAACTCCACATAAGTTCTAACGATTACAGAATTTCAAAAAAAAATTGATCAAACTATTCTCAATAAGCGATCAAGAAGGACATTGATACGTATAAATGAATTTCTTCACCTATTCAGCCCAAATTATCAAATTTCAGTGAATGAAAGTCGAAATGACTCATGTTCGAATGCGGTTAGCTGAAACTAATTACATTGCCGATACTTATTTTATGAAAAAAAAAATATTAGAATTGATGCATTGTTAAATTTTTTCTGACTGAAAGTTTTATTTAAAAATAGTTGGCATTTTACCAAACTATACGTAAAATGGGGTTTCATTTTTTATGACTAATCAAATCGGAAACTGGCTCATCAAATCAAATCGTTCATGCTAAAAAAACGACAACAAATCTCCAACTTCAATAACTTAGCGATTTATTTGTGATACCAATTCTACTTGGCACATTTTTTTTTCAATTTATCGCCAGGTTGCTTAAATATTATGAAAAAAGCATAAAAAATTAAATATCATCTTGAGGCGTTTCCATTATGAAGATTAAACACGCATGTGGCAAAGTGTCATAAAATTTCTAAATTTATGACACGAATCGGAATTAGTCTAGAACGTGATATAGCACTTGAACTTGCAACAAAATGTGCAATAAGCCACCAAGTGGAGATGATCAAGTGAAAAACCACTCCATCCCAATCATTTTCACTTGGTTGGGGGTCACTTTTTCAGCCAATCACAATCCAGTTTTTTTGCACGCTGACTCACTGCAGATTTTTGCCGTTTATTTTAGGGAGGTGATTGCTGACTTGGTTAACTTTGGGGATAACTGTTCACATGGTCCAACCAAGCTTTAAAAAACGTTTTAAAAATGTATGATATAATTATAGAAAAAAAGTTTGTCTCGCTAAGAAGGCTCAAAATAGATGAGCATTGCTTGTCTTTCAAAAACTTTCTTAAGAAACGCATTCCAAATTTTGAGTTTTTTTGATACTCAAAATACTATTATCTAATTTTAAATATTCATTTTGGTGTAAAAAAAATTGAAGGTAAAAAGTGGGTAAGTATGGGCTTCATGTGACATGTGAAAACATGAAAAATGAGTAGTTTTTTGTTAGATATATATCTCATATTTTCGGTTTGTCATCCTTTCGGATCATTGAACCATCCCACTTAAACTGCTCCACCTTTTATGGTGCCGAGTAGACCAATTTATGAGGTCGTTTAGATGAACATCCGATATTCAGGCATGACTTGCAGATGACACACCTGGTTAGTTTATATGGGGACAAAATGACAATTTTATGACAATTCATCTTCAAAAACTTATACTTTTTATTATAATTTTCCAAGAAAAACTGACTCTAAGAGCGGTCGGTTGTGTACCTGACCGATTTGTCCATGAAAAATACGGAAAGCAAAGGCAGTCGATTGCTGTACAAGTAACGCAAAATGTTCCGCCCACAATGATATATTAGTTTATAAGTTTTAAGAAAAAAATTGGCTAAGGGACATTTGAAACAGCGACAAACTCGACACTGAAACAATTTTTTTGAACTTTTTGTGAAACTGCAAATCAAAACTGAAAAGGGTTTAAATTGACAAAACTTGACCTCTTTGAACACAATAAGCCTACTTGGCGATGAAAATTGAGCAGAAACAACTACCGACGCGACCATTGCCAAAAAGGATGCACTTACAGAGGACGTCTACGGTCATGTGCCTCTGATCCCCTGGGCCAATCATATTGTCCGCTTTGCATGTGTACAGTCCCCTGTCTGTCTTGGACACATTATCCAACAGGAACTCACTACCCCGCGCAATCTGAAAAGCAAAACACAACTATTATTTTTCGGTTAGTTGTTAGGCACTGAGACCAGGGGCCAGGGGCGGATCGAGGATTTTCTCGAGGGTGGAATCGGATTTTCAAAAAAATTACAAAAAAAATTGTCGGTTTTTTCCGACCTTTTGTAGGTCAACTAAATTGGTTTTCTGAGCGCTCTCAGAAGACTATAAATACCCTCTTTTGACAATCCGCCCATCCCTTCCCCCTCTCTAAATCCGTCACTGACTCAGACGACAATTTATAAAATGAACCAAAACCCCGTTTTAAATAATTTCTGCGATTTTCTTACGCTGGTGTTTTGCGCGATTTTTTTTCGAGACTTCTGGGGAGTTTTTTCAAAAAGTTTGAACGTTGAGAAAAAAGTCCAGTTTTCCCAAATTTCATTGTATTTTTTCGCTGCGATGCATCCGCCATCCTTAACTGCAATGGCTGAGGTTTATACGCACAATTAAATGAACGGTTTTGATCACTCTCGTTGATTATTTTTGAAACTCCTAATCTTAGAACTTCTTTTCTTTTTTGCTAATGTTGAAGCGTTGAGGCGTTCATTTTGTAGGTTTATAGATATAATCTAACAATCATGTTGTCGGTGGGTGCCTTGTGCCAGGTGATGATGGGATCGGGGACTCCCGAGGCCTCGCAGTGCAGTTCCAGAGAGGATCCCAGCAGAGGCAGGAAGGTGTCGGCACCAGACCACGACACTATCTTTGCAGGCACTGGAACAAGAAAACGATACATTTTTACAGCAAAAGCGACATTATATGCTAAAATTTACTCGGAGCGTGGCATGTGTAAAAATGAGTGGAAAGAGAGTGCATGGTTTTGAATGATACCTACCAAAAAACGCTCAGAAATGGACTTTTTAGTTTTTTTCTCAAAAAACTCAAAAAAATTTCAATTGAAATTATTTTGAATAGCCCATTACCGTGCCAAAGGGGAAGGCGAGGGGTACTCATTTTCTTTTAATTAGTCACAAATAGCTTTTGTTAAAAGAAAAACTGACAAAAAAAATTGATTTTATGCTGATCAGACCAAAGCTTAAGTGTTACAATTTGAGTCGTGTTTAAAATTAATCGAAACAATTAGCTGCCTCAATTCAATTTAAAACAGTTTCGTAAGGCGGGATAACTTGCCACGCGTGTAATTTAGAAAACGAGCAGTTTGGACATAACCGCCACATGTTACTATAGTGCTGTACACGCAACTGGGCCCATAAAGTTCAAGAGATAGATTCCTCGAGGAACCAGAGTGTTGTAAAGTTGGTCTGAATGAGAAAACCACCCAGAGCATATATATTCTTCAGGTTCTTCAAATTTCAGAGCAAAAACTGAACCAGATATTTATATCAGGCAAAAGTGACCGAAATTTTTTCACAAATTGAATTTCTTTGATTTGATCTTGTGATTTTAATGCTTTGCGTTAAAATCTTGACGTTAATCTTTACGTTTGTTTGATTTTTCTACATTTAGACTCTATTCGTATCAAATAATCCTAGAACATTCAAAGCGAGACAAAATTTTAAAAAAGAAGTAATTGAAATTTTTAAGAGCGCTTGGCCAAGCGGTGCAGTCACTTGTTTCAAAATCAAAAAGTAATAAATTCAAGTCTCGGGTCCAAAAAAAAGTTTTTATAACCTGCCTTAACTTTTAAAATCGAAATCCCAAAAGTGGAAACTGAAAATATTATGGCAAAGTCGAAATGAGTCAACTCGCTTGGGCCAAACGGAAAGGAAGGGCAAAACTTGATAACATTGATCATTTTGCCGTCTTCAGAATGGTTCTAGCAAAACTCTGGAAATATCTAGGCTGAAAATATCTTCTGAAATTCTGAAAAAATCTTCTGAAAATTCAAGTTACAAATTTTGAGCTGTGGCTCATCTGAACGACTGTTCTTGTTTTAAGAGATGTTCTGAACTTCTGTTTCTTGCTTTAAGATAAAAGACATCTCAACGAAATTGAGGCATCTGTTAAAGTTTGTTGGTTTAAATATGCGTATGCTTCATAAACTAGCTTTTCGTTAAATTTGTTGGTTTTAAAGGATTTACAATGTTAGCAGGAACTCGAGAGCAATAATAATGACACTCATGCCTACATTTGGCAATAGTATCAGTCAAGCATTACTTGTGTATGTATGTGTGAACAATTTGAATCCTGTTTTAATTATGTCTCTAATTTGCTACTCAAAGGAAAATTTTGGTCTACTAGCACACTTACGTGGCTTTATCAAAATAAAGTCTTCTATTGAGAGATTATCAATTTAACCTGGTCGTAAACAAGTGGGGCAGTTTTCCAAGTGGGACAGCTTTGGGACATTTTTTTCTGGGAACCAAAAGTCTTGGACAATTTCTGCATTTTGGACAGAAACGAATTGGAATTGATTTTGTTTTCTCGCTTTTGCGTGAAACTTAAATTGAAGCGTGCCGCATTAAATTGAGACTTTTTGTAAGTTTCGCAACTGATGTACTTTGGCACTGTTGAACACCCCCGCAGGATTTTTTGACGGAGAAGAGAGGGTTTCTAGAATGTTTCACTTGACCTTTTTTATAGGTCGACTGAGGTGGGGGGATAGCCATGCTAAGCGGCACGCGACGAAAAATGAGAAAATTCAACTGCGACAAAAATGAGGATTTCGGAACTTTTGGACAACATATTATTTTTCGGCACTGTTGTATTTCGGCACAGTTGAAACACCTCTAAAGGCAGTAAAACAGTGCCGAAGTACAACAGTGCCGAAAAAAATGATGTCCATCAGTGCTGAAAAGCACCAATTTTGGGCACCGTTGAACACTTTTTCATTTTTGGCTGGCCTATAAAAAGTCTACTGAATTTACTGATAATTTTTAAAAGAGCAAATAAAATTAATTATAATGTTAATATTGTGCAATTTGATTGGAATAGGAACATATATAGATTAACCTTAATACAAATTCGTAATGATTCAAAAAAATTGTGTATCTGAGGGCAAATGTGCAATTATTTTTATTTTTCTGATTTTGTTGATGGTGGTTATTGATGGTTATGTTTCTTGAAACGGTTTTTGAAATCAATTCATTCTGTAAAATCTGAACAACTCAAACAATTTTCACTTAGTCTTTTATAGCTCTTCATGGTGCTTTTTTGCAATCAATTCACAAACAATTTTAAAAGTGCAACCAACTCAGTTATGTCGATTGCTCCATTGATTAAATTAAATTAAAATCTTCTTCTTCTTTTCAAGACCATTTCATAGGCGGGTGACAATTCAAAATAGAATTTGAAGCTGATCGAAAAAATTATAAACAGGGCTTTAGAGTTCACCAAAAAATATTTTCAACAAGAGCTGAGCTATGATTCACCAGCTTTAATAAGAAAATTGAACTAAATACGAACTTGAAGCCAGTTTTTTATCTGGTTAGAAAAAAAACAGCTATCGCTCTGTCAAACATATAAGAATAGTACTTTTAGAGCTACTTGAAATCATTTTTGCCCATTTTTAAGACAATATTAGACTATAAAGCAAGGTTTTGTACTCAATCTTTAATTTTTTCTATAAAGCAAAAAGGAGCAGACAACACAAAAAGTGCACGGCGTCACTAGATAAAAAAACAAGCCCTTCAGTCAGGGACGGATCCAGGATTTTCTCGAGGGCGGGGGCGGACTTTCAAAAAATTTTCAAAAGTTTTGTCGACCTTTTTTTTTTTTTAGGTCGACCAAGTTTTTTTTCCGAGCTCTCCCAAAGCAATTAAAAGACCCTGTTTTGGCCAAATGGTCAAATTTTCTGTGCTGCAAAAGAATTTCCATCCATATAAACGATTAATTGAACGGTTAATCATACCCAAATTTTTCACCTTGTAAAAAAGTTCACCTACTTTGTTTTTTTTGGAGGGTGTTGTGAGATCACGGGGGTTCGAATAGGTAACAAGATCCGTCTAGAATCTTACCTTCAACAGTAAGTGTGCGTTTGAAGAGACTGTCGTCGTTTGCATCGAACACTTTGCAGAAGTAGTTTCCACTGTCTGCTTCTCCGTCTAGCTCCTCTAAGTTGAGGGCAAAGGTGTCCTTGTCAATAGAGGCACGTGACTCCCACACCTCTTTGATGGTCGCCACTCCGTACAGACGAAAGCCCAACTCCAAAGCCACGTCCCAGTTTTTACCTAAACAAAACTAGTTGTCATGTCGTTTGCATTTATAACCCATTATAAATTTTTCACCGAAAACTTTTTTTATCACAATGAAACTATACAAGTTATTCAAAATTATGATTTGCCTGGAACTTTTTTTGCGAATTGGAAAAAAATTTGAAAAACTTTAGTCAGACTTTCAATAAAAACAACGGAAATCATTTTTTCTATTTTTCAAGTTTCCACTAAAAACCACCTCAGAGACGTTATACTTTCAGTGCCTCGCCCTCATACAAGGGAATCTTATTAACCTGTTCAACCTGTTATCTTTACAGGCCAAGTCTAATATTAAGTGACGAACAAGGCTCAAGGCTGCTCGTATATCAAGTCAAAGAATCGAATGTTTCGACTGCCCCATAACGCTAAAGAAATGAATTTTTTTGTTTTCCTTTTATCCCCCACAGCCCATGTAATACACAAAGAAATGTATTTAGCGTCTCAAATAATATCAAAAAGACTGCTCTCGTATCAGTGCAAAGCCTTAAACATTCCGACTGCTCTTTTATTGTTCTCGGATAGTGTTTGGTCAATTAAAAATTGGCAAAACTATGAATTTTACAGCTGATAATATCAAATTTTAAGAGTTCAAATTTGAGTAGTGTATGGAATCATTAAGCTGCTGTAATTCAATTTGGAACAGTTCTATATATATTTTGCCATATGTAACGTATAAAACGAGCCGTTTAGACAGACTCCTGGCAGGTTACGATAAAGGCGGGTTATTTTTTTCTCCATGCAAATTTCGACTTTTTAACTAGTGATTTTTGACGAATATTTTTATCATTCGAGAAGTAGTTTGTATTGAGCTCAAAATTAAAAACCTAATTCACCTGTGATCCTTTTTTGTAAAGTTATGGGTGTTTGGAGTTCGCCATTTTGGCCAACTTTGGCGCAATATGTTTCGTGCTATTAACGCGCAAGCGAAGATTTAATCCATCTTAGAAAACATCCCTAATTGAAATTAGGCACGCAATATAGTCCAATTAAAACTTTGGTCAGCAAAAAATATCACCTACAATACACGTGCGGAGGAATGATTTTCAAAAAAGAAATGACAAAAAAATTTGATAATTTTTATTGTTTTTTGAAAACTTATCAGGTTTTCTTACAGTGAAAACTCAAAAACTACTCAATAGGACTGAAAAAACAGTCAAACATTGAGCTTTTTGCCCTGATATGAGTAGTCTTGTTCTTTTTAAGATCAAGAAAATGATTTTTTTTTCAGATTGTAGAGAAAAAATTTTTCAGTTAAGCAGTCGATTTTTAACTGAACAAGTTTGCTCGTATCAGGGCGAAGCCCTGAATGTTCCGACTGCCTTTTAAGGTTTATTGAGCAGCAGTAATACATAAAAAAAATTAAATGAAATAAAATAGAATGAATTTTTTTTTTCTAAAATTTGAACTTTTTTATGAAAATCATTCCCCCACACGCCATATAAAGTACAAAAAGATAGATTTCGCTTCTTGTAACAAATCAATTCTGGCAAATAAGCTTCTTTCAACCAATTTGGAACGATTTCTAAGACGGATTAAATGTCAGCTTACGCGTTAATAGCATGAAATATATCGCGCGTTAATTGTCCCAAATTGGCCAAAATGGCAATCTTTAAACCCCCGTAACTTTACGAAAAATGATCACAGGTGAAATATCTTTTCAAATTTGAGCTCAAGACAACAGTACCTTTTGAATGATATAAAAAATTCTGTCAAAAACGGCTAGTTTAAAAGTCGAAATTTGTCTGAAGAAAAAAAAAACCCACCCCGAGCACAAATATTCCGTTACTTTCGTATCGAAAGTCGGAACAATAAGAAAAGAAACTACCACAAGCATAACTATTCAGTCTTTTTCTTCCAAAAACGGATCAAAAACGCAACACTTGGACACAGTATATATTACCTTAATTAGTTTTGAAATCATCATGAGCGCTTTTTGTTTTGTCACTTGCTCGTTAGAACGCAATAATACTTATATTGTTTGAGAGTTTGAGCAAAAACGCAAAAACAACAATTTGTATTGATTTTTCAATCGGCCGATTTTGCTGTTTACGCTACGCGGTAATACAAAATTGGTGACTAGCACGCTTTAATTTTTCTTAACTGGCCGCAGCAGTCCCAAATTCGAACCCCCATAATTCATAAAAAGTATCACAGGTGAAACATGTTTTTAGCATTGAGCTCAGTTCATCAAAAGTGTTTACACTATATTAAAACGTGATCAAAAATTGCTCACTAAAAATTTAAAATGTTCAAACTTGTCTGGAAATATGAAAAACCAAAGAACACAATTTATCTGTCACATTTTTTGAAAGAACAATGATATGCAAAGTACTCCGATTGTTTCCTTCTCAGCACTGAGAAAAAAGTTTAAGACTCCGAATTTTCATTTACTGTTCAAGTTTCTCCTCGAAAGAATTTCAATACGATGCATCATTCAATTTACTAGCGTGATTTTGTGTTTATACAAATTTTAATGAGAAAACATCTATTCAAATTTCATTCCCGTCTCCCGACAACAAGGCAAAGGTTTCCCATGAAAGTTATAAAACCTGTTTCTGCATACTGATTATTCAAATTTGGTTTTAAATGGAAAGCCAATTTAGAAACTGAAGCGATCCAAAAGAGAATTTGAAAAAAAATGAGCGATTGAAATTTTAAAATTTCATTTGCGTTATAAAATTAAATGTTAAAAGCTACTTAATAACTCCAAACTTTTCTGCGATTTTTTTAATTGTTTATCGATAAAGCCATTAATATTTATCAAAAAAATCCAGTAGTTCTTTTTGTTGAGGAAACGGATACTAGTTTGCATCTGCAGCTTTCGGTTTGCTTTCATAAATATTTGAAAGTCCCTTCTGCGCCATCTTTGATTTTGTATGTTCACGATATGATTTCCGTACTTCCAAATAAGAAAATCAAACTCAATTTAAAATTCTCTCTCTTTCTCGGGTCGATGTCCGCATTTCATGTCCAGGCTTTTACGGCCAATTTTCGGCTTTTTCAGACTTATAACCAAAAAAAGCTGCTCAAATGTTCCAATGTTCAACTGCATGTGAATCATGGAAATTTTTTCAAACGATAGATTGAGGTTAGTTTTCTAAAAAAAAAACTTTATTTTCTGGAACATTTTTCTATATACGTCCAGACCTTAGATATCAGTCTCCTTTTCAAAAGAATCACTTTATTTTTATCGAGAAACTACATGCAATAAGGTTCCCTAGGGGTATTAGTAATATAGATACCTGTTAAGCCCTTAAAACTCTCCCAATACTCTTTTTTCACCCTTAGGACAAAATGCAAAAGGCGATGATGATATGTTCAAACACTCCATTTTCAATTCTCAACTTCAAAGAATCAGAATAGAAAAAACCAATTTAGAAAAGAAAACATCACAAGAGAGAAAATTGAAAAGGAAGTACCTTATCAGGGCGGCTCATTTTGAAATTGCGGTCCCTCAAAAAAACGAAACCTGTTTGCTCAAGAAAGTCAATACCATGTTTTAAAACAAGCGTTAGGAAGAAAAAATAAGAGCAATAATGGGAAATAAGAAAACTAATGGGACTGGAAATTAGCATATCATTATGGAAGCAGGGTGCTGTTTAAAATTCTGGAAACATTTCAGAAGGTGGGCTGAACACGTGACAGGTTATTCACGGGTTGTCTGTTTGGGTTTTATTCGCCCACTGCGCTCATTCATTCACATTTTATTCACACCACAAGGGGGTGCTGTTTTTGACGGATACAGTTCAAACAGCCGACATAGCCTTGAGCCTAATAGATAAAATTACCAACATATCGTCATCACTCCATTGTTTTTTTAAATTATTACTACAAAACTGGAATGCAAAATATCTGAAAAAATTAAGTAAATCTGAAATTGAAAGACTTTCAAAATAAGCCCGTGAACAAAAAAAAGTATTAGACACTTTTAGTTTTTTTGTGTGTCATCGTTTTGCGGCAAATTGTGGCTCTTTTTTGTTTCGGCTCGGCGGTTTATACGCTTGCAATTCACTCAGCACCATAGGGGGTGATGTTTTTGACATCTAGCGCATTACAGAACTTGTCAGGATGGATTTTCATGCTAATCTTCACCTTCCCATGGGAAAGGGAAAATAAAGGAAAATCTAATGTTCCCAAAAAACTAAAGACGCAGTTAGCTGCTGATCGTTTAAACACAAGCTATTTGCATGTAACTAAAACAGGATAAGTGATCAGTAACGGTGGTGTCTTTCCGGAAATTGGAGGGGAAATTAAACTTATTAGATGTTGAAGGTCAATTGAAGGTTGAAGTTGAAGGCATTAAAAAGAGGCGTTATATATATCACAACAAGTGTAATAATCAGCCTTCTAAGATTCACGTGAAAAGGAGAAGAAAAGTAACATAGAAATTCGGTGCAAGAAATGAGGTTACTTCTGAAATATAACCACAAAAAAAAATGCTTCGCAAACTCGGTTTTTAAAGCCTCACGAATTTGTTCACTATTGCTTTAAATATGCAATAAATTAGTTTCAGTCAAAGCATTATTTAAAAAGCAAAAAAAATGAACCAAAATTGATTAAACGTTTTATTTAGGACAGACAGAAGATTGCTGTTAGATTAATCAATCAGCAACAATCACAACTGAAATTAAACCGATACGACATTTTATTTTTGTGTTAATTGATTTCGCGTAAGAATAATTTTCTACATATGGCAACATAAATCGACCTACCTAAAAAATGGTGAAACGAAAAAACGAAAAAAAAATTGAAAAAAGAAAAATGCTTTGTCAGAAAGACACGTGTTAAAACTATTGATATAAACGTCTGAAAAACTGAATAGAAACTAATGGGAAACATTTTTTAACAATTTCAAACTCTAATTTTCCTTTTCCCCCTCCCCTCACCTGCTAATTTTTATATTTGGAATTACTAATCACTTTGTCCGATTGACATGCAGACTAATTAGGCAATGACAAACATATTTGGTCTTCATAATTAACCTCGTAAAGCCACTCGTTAGACCATAAAATTCATGTTTGAGTGTGGTGGGGGAAAAAGGAAAAAGAACCCACCAAAAACTCATTCTTATTCGCGTATACTTCCACATGCCAACTAAACTATTACTTATTTTAGAATAAATTTGTATAGTTTATTGATCTGGGAATATGATATATATATATTTTTGGCGAGGTCTAAATTAGTCTGAAATTCGATCATATTCTGACCAGTTTTTGTTGAAATTAAAACAATTTTGTTTGAATTACTTTTTAATTGAAATCGAATCAAGGCTGAAAGAGCACTGTGATGCTTGACTTGACTACATACTAGTTTTCTTTAAAATAGTCAAACCGGTTGAAATAATACTAGCTACACTATAGCTCCTTCTGATTAGTTGCAGCGTCGCGTTCACTACAAAAAGGATAAGTTTTTTTTGAATTTTGATTTTGAGTCAAATTAAGCCATAGTTTCGAACTTGATTTAGTTTCGAACTTAAAATACAAAAAAGTTGGTTTCCTGGGTTAAAGAAAGCCTGTTGTTCCGATTTAAAAAAAATGGAGTTTTTATGCTCGGGTTTTATTTCAGACCCATGTAATTAAACTATCACCTTTAAAAATTGTTTAAATATCTTAAACATAATAAAAGTTTGAGCTCAAAATTGAAGCTACGCTCTACGCGCGACAAAATATAACGAAATTATGACGGTGGAAAAAGCGTTATTGCGCACTAAAATTCAAACTTTCAATGACCGCGAAGTGCATTCAGCGAATTAATTTGCTTTAGAAATTATTCCGAATTAAATTGCGGCATGTTATTTTGTTCAGTTTGTTCAGTAACAGATAAAAGAACAACAATTTGTAGTACAAATTGAATGTGGGTGGAAGATTTGAACTAAATACAAAAAAAGACACCTCACATCAGGGCGAAACCCTTAATGTTCCGACTGCATTTTAATTTCAATGAAGTAGTTTAAATTTAAATAATTGATGAAATTTCCAAAAACCAAAAAAAAACTTCAAAAAATTTTTTGTTGAGGTTTTCTGAAAATCATCCCCCAATCAATATGTAAAGTGGGTACAAAGTGATTTTTTTGCACATAGCAATGTATTAAAAAGATCAAATATCATGCCTCAATCCAATTTAGAAAAGTTTCTAAGACGGATTGAGCCTCCCCTTACGCGTTAATAGCAAGAAAAAGATCGCGGGCTTAATGTCCCAAAATGGCCAAATTGGCAATTTTTAAACCCCCAGAACTTAACAAAAAATGAGCGCAAATGAACTATCTTTTCAAATTTCAGCTCAGAACAACAATAACTTTCGAATGTATATGCCATATGACATCAATAATACAATAGGACATTAATAACTTTTCCGTCAAAATTTTCGGATGATATATAACTTTTTCGTCAAAAGCCGAATTTTAATTGGAGAATTAAACATCCGAGCACATATATCGAAATTTTCTTCGAAAATAGTCGAAACAAAAATAGTATGTTTTCTTTGAAGTTTTTAACTGAATTACCAGAACAAAGTCATTTTCTTTCAACAATCGATTTATAAAAGCGTGCAACTTTTTCTTATTTTTTTAACTCTTATAGTTTTCAACGGACTGGTCTTCAATTTTAGCCTTTTTGTCGGTATTCTATGTGCTTTTGTGCTCTGAAAAATTGTATGGCATATCGTTGTTCAATGAACAAGCTGTTTCATTTGTGCTCTTGAAATAGGGCAAAAATGAAATTCTCAATCATTATACATTGCTCTTTTATCAATTCGAACGCAGTTTTGAAATTTCGATTGCAGTTTTAACGCCAATTCAATGTCTCTAGGTCAGAATTAATTTTAAAAATTTAAGACGTCCGATAAATTTGTTGCAAGCTATAGCAAGTGCGTTGATTGTTTTAGCCTCATGAACCATTCCAAATTAATTTGAAGCTTCTTCATTGTTCAAAATATTTGTAAGTAGATTGGAACTATTATAATTTGTACTTAACACTGTAAATGAAGTTAGCTTCACCCAAAATTTTTAGCCAAATTTTGCTTTAGACACCTTAAAGTCTGGACATTCAAGGACTCGACTTGATTCTTGCAGTCATGTTGGATATCAACTAAAGATGTTTAAAAACTACCAATTGAAGAGAGGTAAAATTAGAAAACTATCAAGGAAGTTTGCATGATCTTAATCAGGGGAGGATTTACGTGGGGAGGGGGTCGGATATCCTCCCCTCAGGGATTCGACCCTCTGCCGACCCAAAGTTTTCCCTTTGTACTATTTTGACGGACCCTAAAAATTTTCGAAAGTTGGCTCCAATATAGACTAATTTTTAAGGGGAAGCGCGCGCCGAAAAACGCGCTTTTTGTCAAAATTTTCCAAAAAGTGCCTAAAAGCTCCGCCTTTTCTGGCTTGTTTTTTTTTTCAAACTTTTGCCTGCGGCGCAGAAAAATTAGCCAAAACAGAGAGTTTTTAGTGCTTTGGGAGAGCTCGGAAAATCAATTTGGTCGACCTAAAAAAAATCCGCCCCCTCCCACCTCGAGAAAATCCTAGATCCGCCCCTGATCTTAATAACAACCCAACGGATTCGTCGATTTTTCCATTAATCGTTTTCCACTGAAAATGCAAATAATTTCATCCAGTGAAGAACGTTCCGGTAGTAATTATTATAATTATTGCACGACTATTTTCTAATTTGAGTTGAAAATTGACCAAATGTTCGGCCGGTTCGAACACTTTGACCAAGAAACCTGCTCTCTTTCTCGTTCAAATTTCTCGCGGTTCAATATAATTGAAAATAATTTAAATATAGTAACTTACCGAATTTCCAAACGACAATCGTGTCTTTATCGGATATTTTATCAGTGTTTGAGTCTGTACATGGCATTGTCACTTGAGATCCCTGCCGACCCACGAAATTGGTCTGCTGCATGTCCAGATAGTGTACCGGAATGTCCACGATAACACTTCCGTCCTCGTCCCACTTGTAGACAGACGGTGATGACTCACCAATGGTGTTCCGCACAGAACAATCACAAGGCTGGAGGAGAGAGAAGATGAAGAGAAGAATCGCTGACACGAATGTTGTTTTCGCATCTGAAATAAATAAACAGGAAAACATGGCAGTTGTTGAGTAATTGAAAAAAAATGTCAATTAAAGTTTGAAAGCAAAACTTCAAACTGAAATATTGGAATCAAATATTCCAAATGATCAAAACTCAGGTTTGTTTGACAGCTTTGTTTCACAACTTTTTGGGGAGCTTTGGGGAAACGGTAAAAAAACGTTCTCATAAAAAAGCATTTATTAACGGAGATCTGCTATCTTCATATATGGGTTTCAGTTCATTCGTAAATTTAGTGAAGGAAAATTAAGATAAGACCGAACAGAAAAGGTTTTCGAAGTTATCCGTAGAACCTGCTACTGGTGTTCTACTGGTGATGAACGCGATGATTGTATTGGTTTAAATTGTCAGCAATTGATCTTTCAGGAGTTTCAGATGGAAGCAAAGAGCGACAAGTTCCGCAGTCATTTAAATTATGATAACATTCGGTATTCTAAGGTAACGGGTAAACATTAAATACGTCGTGCATGAATCTGAGGACGGGTACCTTAAGGGGCGTGGTCTTACAACCCCTCCTTTGTTAAGATAGCACTTCGTACTCAAGGCTTGAACTTTGAGAAATATTTAGCTTTAACAATGGTCAAAGATGGAGGGGAGGAGGAGCAGCAGGGGCGGATTTAGGATTTTCTCCAGGGGGGGATCGGATTTTCAAAAAAAATTTGAAAATTTTGTCGACTTTTTTTTAGGTTGTTCAAAATGCTGAGCGCTCCTAGAACACTATAAAGACCGTATTTGCACAATTTTTTTATGCAGCAGGCGAACTTTTGAACAAAAAAAAAACAGGTCAAAAAGCCGTTTTTGGGCACTTTTTGGAAAATTTTGACAAAAAAACCGCATATTTTTGGGGCGCGCTCCCTCTCAAAATTAACATTTATTGGCGCCGAATGTGCGTTTAAAAAAATTAGGTTGGTCAGCCAAAAATAGGTTTCCTAAAAAGCACCAAAGGAGGGGGGCCTTTGGGTTGGCAGGGGGTCGAAAAAAAGCTGACGATACCGCCAAGAAGTGTCTGATTAACTTGTATCAATGCACAAATACTGCAAAATCTTTTTTAAAATAGAATTACTTCAAAAAAGAACTCACCTTTCTTCGATCTTCTAAATGAAATCCAAGTTTTCCGCATCTTCATTCTGTCAAATCCACTTAAGATAAGACTGTCACAGTGAAAGAAAAACTTTCAATCATCAGGCTTATCCCGGTCGGATCCAAGATAAACATCTCAACTCCAAGGAACGCATGTTTGAATGCAGTTATAAACTGTTTATACTTCTTTATGATAACAATCGCCTTAACCAACCGATGGATCTCTCGCAATTACGTCAGACAAAATGATAGATGAAAAAATTACTGAAGGAATATCATCAAAAATCAAAAGATTTTTAAACAAAATTAAATTTTGCAAAATAGGTTTGTATAAGCCAAAAGTGGAAAAATCCAGGTGAAGTTTGAATCTATATTTGATGTCTTTTTCTATTTCCAGCAATATGCAAGCAAATAGCGAATTTTAGATCTTTATTGTCTATTTTCCTTTATTTTCAGGCATCTCATCCAATAGAATTTGCTGAAAAAGTGGTAAAATAATTGCAGTTGGAGCACTTTTTTGGGCCATTTTTGAAGATAAAAGTAAAAAAAATACCGTGTGTTGTGTTTGAAGGTCGGTTCATTTTGGCATGTTCATTCAAACCGTTTAATTCAAATTAATCCCTCATTTCTAAAGCGATATCCCCGGTCGTTTAGAGCTGGCGTCAATCCCGTGTCACGCTTTGTGCTCGAGACAAAGATTCGGATTATGAAAAGGCAAATTGTGTGAAATGTTTCACTTTTCAACCACTGGTGTAAAGGAGGTTCTCTTGACATGCCCATTTTAGCAAACAACACTTAAAATAGCCTGTAGTTTTCTTACAAGTCCGCGTAAATCATCTAAAATGAAAAAATAGATTTTATTTTCACAAGCGCAAAGAAAATTACATTATTTCTTTTCAGTCTTGATTTTCATTCAAAAACAAATTTGCGTTCTTTAGAATAAACTTGACATCAAATTTCATGATTTTTTCTTTTAATTTGTTCTCGAACAATTTAGCATATGTGAGCAGGCTACAAGCCTTACGGTGTCGAATCTGATAGACGCTACAGCAAACATTAGGCTAACAATGATAGCCGGTTGCTGAGCAAACAGAACAGAATGTTCCGATCATAGTCTTAAATTACAAAATTTTATTTTTCAAATTAGTTTCGTTTTTTTTCTGTAGGGTGCGATAAAAGAACTGAACAAAAAAAACTAGGCGTGGTCATAGTCAAATAAGCCAAATCGAAAACAGTTTCTGTAGAAAAATGACTTGAAAAAAAATCGTAAAAATATTAAGACATTTTTTTGCAGAAATTTTTTGAATTCTTGATTCTCAAAATGGCACAAAAAATTTCAAAAAGTAATTTTACTCAAAAAAAAATAAATTTTCACTATTGTAAGCCTGCAAATTTTATTTTGGCAAACCTTATTAGCTCGAAAATAGACTGAAAATCAAAAATTTCAAACAGGTTTTCTAGACAAGGAGAAAATTTTTTAAAAACTTTTTAATGTCGTTCAAATCACAACTGAAAGCGTTTGAACATGAAATATTACTTGAAGCATTCCAATAATTGTTTTGATACCTGATTATGCGTGGGAAACAAAAACATCCGAATACAAAGTTCCTCCACGTTTTTCAAATGGTCTGAACAATAACAAGACTGCTCGAATTTGAGCGACGCCCTGAATATTTTCAGATTACATGAGATATCAGAAACCATTAGATAAGAATTCAAAGTTTGTCTGAAGAAAAAAGCACACTCAAAGACAATTAATCCGCCACTTTCTTTGAAAGTTGGAACAACAGTTGTTATATCACATATAGTCGTAGTAAATGCTACCATTCAGGGCAATGGGATCTCCGAAAAATAAAAGGCCCACGTCAAAACTTGGCTGAGACTGTCTGGTCATTAAACCACTGTTTCAACTGAGACTTTACTCCAAACCAACGTTTATTGAAGAAAATTTCACTAAAAGCTTTAAAAAATCAGCGCTGTGAAATAAATTGATATTTACTACTTATAACTTGTGTCTGAAATTTGGCTACTTTTTTGATAGCTTTGTTCAATCTCAGAATTTTTTAAATTTTAGTCCTATCCTTTTTGCTTTGATCTATCAGATTTTTCTTTCTGTCCCAAAGAACGCGGACACTTCTCTTTGGTCTATATAGTCTAGAAACAATAATTTTTGGTCGCGATAATCCGGAAATTCCCAATCTTGCATGCAATAATCAAGAAATACCGAAACTGGTTGCAATAGTCCGAAACAGTGGTGGATTTAGGGGGGGAGCGGGAGGCGGACGCCTTCTTTTTTTCAGGGATTCGACCCCCAGCCGAACCAAAGGGTTTCCCTTTTGTACTATTTTGAGATATCAATTTTTGGCTGACTGGCCTTGAAATTTTTCTAAAGGCGTCTTTGGCGCCAATCTATACTAATTTTGAGGGCGGGAAGGGAGCGCGCCAAAAAAACGCAATTTTTTGGTCGAAATTTTCCAAAAAATGCCTTGAAACGCTTTTTATCTGGCCTTTTTTGTCAAAAACTTGCCTGTGGCGCAGAAAATTTGGTCAAATTTGGGTCTGTATAGTGGTTTCGGAGAGCTCAGAAAATTAATTTGGCGCCTGGTATCAAATAAAAACCACCACCTCAGTCCGGGATTCTTGTTGCGTCCACTCAGTTTTGATTTCTATGTGGTGAAAACCTCGGCATGGTTGTACTGATTGGTGTCTGTAGTTTTACTAATGGTGGTCGTTGTAGCATTGTATTGTGTTTCAAATCCCAGGGTGGTAAAGTTCGTAAGGGTGACTTTTTGCTGAGTTTAAATAGTCAGAAAATTTATCCATTGCTGAAAGGATGGTTAAAAATTTTTTTACTTCGAACTGGATATACTATAGTGCAAGACGCCGATCACTTATCAATATCATAATGAAGAAATTGGATTATAAGTTCTTGTTCATTTTTTATTTAGTTGGAGGTGAGTAGCGACTTCCCAAAGCGTACCTTCAATCACCTCTCGAAGAACTAAAAGAAAATTCTGGAAAACTCAGAAAAAAAACAATCCTAATAGACAATCCGGTTGCCGTGCATAGAGAATGAATGTTTGACCCCCGTGAAGTGAGAAATGATTTTCGAAAAAGAATATAAGACAAATAAAAACAAAAAATTTTCAACGTTTGTCAACTTTTTTTCTAGATGAGTTTTTTTTGTTAAAAGGATTGATAAAATAGTTGAAGTAACAATAGTTATAAATACACAGTATAAAAGCATAATTAAGTGAACGTAAAAATTAGAGAAATGCTAAACTGGAAATTGAGGTTCGTAATAAACACAGTCTGATACATTCGAAAAATTATTATTTTTAAAAATATTGAGTCATTTTTGAATGTCTTTTTTTTGACATTGAGAGAACATATGTACAGCAGAAATGGCTCAATTACTATGTTTCTAATATGCCTCAATATTCACTTTTTTGAAAAATTGACTGGCAGAGGTCCATTCTTTCAAGTGTCGTCAGCTTCAGTTTCAAAAAAGTCAAAACTCCATACTGAGGTTTTTTTTATTTTACAGATTAACTTTTAGAGAAGGCCAATCAAAAGCCAATCAAAAGAAGACCAAGCAAGGCTTTTTATCTAACTCTTTAGTGAATCGTACTTTAATTTAGCATATGTTACCTGTTCTAGGAACTCGTTTACTCTTTCAACCGACTCTTAATTTCATTATCTGCACGGAGATCTTTACAAACATGAACTGAAAATACCGCCCACAAACTGGAACATATAAAACTAAATTTTTCATTGCAAAAAACGCGTTTCATTGCGCTTTGAAATGTTTCGTACAAAACTCCAATTTTTGTCTAAAAACATGCAGCTATATTTAAAGCACCATCCGGAAGCTAAGTCCGCAGAAGTGTAATCCAAAGAAAACTACAAAATCTGGCTGAAAGCCAAAAAAACTCACTCCTTGTAAAAGACAGTTTGAAATTTAGATATCTGAATTTCAATTTCTAGCTTCAAGTAGTGATAGAATACTTGCCTTCATAAAGAAAATTAACAAAGGACTTATACTTTAAAAGTGTTTGTAATATTATGAAATTCCTTTCCAAAAAAACACAGCCTCAGTACTCAACAAAACATCTGGTCTATCAAATCTTCGAAGATTCCTTCTTCCTTCTTTTGTCAAACACAATCTTTTGGGATAAAAAAGATCTTATAAAAAGAAAAACCTTAAAGAGAGAATTTTTTTTTCTCTATTTGGAAATTATTAGCTACTTCTAAACGCGTACCTTCATTCAGCATTCGAAGAATAAACAGACAATCATGGAAAAACCAGAAAAAGTTATGAAAACGACCGTTCCGGTTTTTGGGCAAATTGATTATGATGTTCCGATCACATTGAAGTGAACATTAATTTTTGACAAAAAAATATGACAAACAAAAATCAAAAATGCTCATTGATTATCGGTTTTTTTCAGTATGTAGTTTTTTTTCTAACAGGTGCTAATAAAATATTTAAGGTAAAATGGTATTCAAAAAAACACAGTATAATAGCATAATTAAGTGAAGGTAAAAATCAGAGAAGAGCTGAACTGGAGCTAAAATTCTTATCAAACGCAGTCTGATACATTCAAAAAATCAAATTAAGATTTTTTTTTGGGTTGATACCACATCATGGTTTTTAGTGAATCCTATTTTATTTTAGAAAATTTCACCTGACTTTTTGAGCTCATTAACTTATTCAAACCGTTCTTTTTGTGATATTCTCAAACATGATTTGAAAATACCAGTCATAAAAAAAACGAAAAACTAAAAATTGCCAAAAGTTTCCAGGGAAAAACGCTGAAAAATCAGAACAAACTTGAGTGGTTTTTAAGCAATATTTTTTCCGTACCACCCAAACGGACCCACTCTGGCTTAGAAAAAGTAAAAATTCTCATCTCGTGGTTAATCTCAAAAACAAAAACTAAAGTTTAAAAGGTGAGATAATTGTAACCAAATGAACTTTTTCAGTAAGTACAAGCCAGATGATAGCATAATGAACCCAAAACTGAATCAACAGAAACGAATCGATACTTTTATGGAGTCTACTAACACGCTGTGCGACTCGGCTTATGGGGAGTTCTTTACAATGATTTCAAGAATATATCACAGTTTGAATAATTTTTTTTTAAATGATTCTGCTGTGCTTGAAGCATGTTTTTAAGACAATAGGGAGTATAGCTTTCAGTTTGTCAAAAGGTTTTTTTTCAGTGAATCTCTCAAACTTTTCTCCGATTCTAAATTCTTTTTCGAGATACAAAAATTAAAATTGAGTTTTCTCTTCATGAGTAGATTCAAAATGCTGTAAACAAACGAATTTAATTTGGGTCAATATATTGTACTATAATGAGAATTTAATTTGTTATTTTTTTCCCGT